TCCTATTTTTAGCATTATTTGCTAGTAAAATTGGTAGAACTAGTATGGCATACTATTTATTGCTAGTAAATTAGTATACCTAGTGTAACTTACTCTTTTAAGTATAATTAGTTTAACGAGTATAACTTACTAACTTGTAACTAAGTAACATAACTTTTTAGGTATCATTAGTTGTTTATAAATGTAGTGTAATTAGTATAGCTTACTATTAGTATCTACTTACTAGTATAGTATTAGTATCACTACTTGGTAGTAAAATTAGTGTAACTAGTAAAACTTATTATGTTTAGTGTATCATTACTTGCTAGTAAAATAGGCGGAATTAGTATAACTTACTAATTTTAGTATCAGTAGTTGCTTGTAAAACTAGTATAACTTTGTATTTTTAGAATTATTAGTTGCTAGTAAAATTAGCGCAATTAGTATAACATACTATTTTTAGTATTATTAGTTGTCAGTGTAACTTACTATTCTTAGTATTATTAGTTGCTAGTAAAATTAGTATAACTAGTGTAACTTACTCTTTTAGTAGTATTATTAGTTACTATCACCCTTATTGAGATTCTCTTTGGGTTTTACATGTGTAAATCATTCAACAAAAGCATGCAACAGTTGATAATTGATAACATAAATGTTAATAAGTCTAATTTTGATGGTATGTTTTCTTGTGTTTCTCTCAGACACAACTGAGCGATGTTCCAGGGGTCAGGGGTCGGGTTACCGTGGCACCTGGAGCATGAGTGTGTCAGGACTGGAGTGTATTAACTGGAATTTCAGCTCACTCCGAGGGAAGAAGTTCAACGCCAGGAGACCAGAGGCAAACTCACTGGGACTGGGAAATCACAACTACTGCAGGTGCACACGCACTTCCTCCAGCCTTTATTCGCAGATGCATGAAATGAAACACTGGTGTCATATTGCTCTTCCATGCAATTTGCAAATTGTTTTCACAATGCTTTTAAACCAAAAAATGATTTTTGCTTTCATGCATTGAGCTGCATTGTGTTGTTTGTGAGTATATTAATAATAATCATGTTTGGGTTGTGTTTTATTCCTCAGGAATCCAGATGGAGACGCTAAACCCTGGTGTTACGTTTATAAAAAGGCTCAGATCTCATGGGAGTTCTGCTCTTTACCGACCTGCATAATTGGTACAAACACTCAACACACACAGACATGCATATCCATATCCATATAGTGTGTACTAATGGCGTGTTGTTTCAGACCCCTATCTAGAGTGCGCTCGGGGATCCGGTCAGACCTACAGAGGGACAAAAGCCGTCACCCGCAGCGGTTTGAAGTGTCTGTCATGGGATTCACCTGCAGTGTCTCGAAAGATCTACAACGCATGGAGGTCCGACGCCAGAGAGATCGGCATCGGCAGCCACAACTTCTGCAGGTACAGTGAATTATGCATTGAATTAAATTAGAAATGCGTTAATATTAACTAGTTCCAGCTTTCACGCCAGGATGTGTTTCTTTATAAATTTGACATGTTGTGATCGAACGTTTCTTTAAACTTCAGCACACTTTAAAGAAAAAAAAAAAACTTATTAAATTTCTTTGCATAACAAACATGCATCATTGTTAAACACAACTCAAAATCAAACTCAATTTTTTATATATATATATATATATATATATGTGTGTGTGTGTGTG